TATGTCTTAAAGGTCTGCCCTAGTGAACATTCCATGTGAACTTGTGAAGAATGTATATTTTGTTGTTTTGGGTGAAGTGTTCTGTATATATCTGTTAGACCAGTCAGTTTAGAGTGTTGGTATATCCTCTGTTTCATTATTGGTCTTCTGTCTAGTTGTTTTATCTATTAATAATAGTTGTAGAACTATTTCTCCCTTCAATTCTATTTTGGCTTCATAGATTCTGGTGCTTTGTTAGGTTCATATAGGCTTCTTATAGTTTTCATATCTTATTAGAGTAACTTCTTTATTGATATGTAAAGTCCTTTGCTTCTGGTAATAATTTTTTCCCAAAAGTCTATTTTTTCACATTAGTATAGCCAACTCAGATGTCTTTTGGTTGCTATTTGTATGGACTGTCTTTTTTCATTTTTTTCTTCCACTTTATTTGTGTCTTTAGATCTAAGGTGAGTCTCTTGAAGATATCATGTAGTTGGATCACTTTGAAAAATAAATTCTGATCCTGTTTTATACCTATATCTATCTATTTGAATCACTTTGCTGTACACCTGGAACTAACACAACATTGTAAATCAACAATACTTCAATAAAAATATTCTGCCAATCTCTGCTTTTTGAGAGTTTAATATATTTACAATGTGAAGTGTTTACCAATAAGAAAGGACATACTTCTTACTTCTGCCAATGTTGCCATTTGTTTTCTACATGTATTAAGTCTTTTTTTTGTTCCTCAGTTCCTCCATTAATGTCTTCTTCTGTGTTAATAGATTTTTTTTATGTGTACTGTTTGGATTCCTTTCTCAAATATATATATAAAATAGATATATATTTCTCAAGCCTACATATATGGAGTTGAGAAAGAAATCAATTTCTTATTTTAGTACTCTACATATATATACATATTTGTTAATGGTTAGCATGGGGATTAAACCTGACATTTTTAATTTAAAAGAAATTAGTTTTAATTTACATCAATTTATCTTCAATAGCATACAAAATCCCTGCTCCTATACATCTTCATAACTCCCTCTTTATTATGTTATTTTCACAAATTACATCTTTATATACTGTGTACCCATAAACACAGAAGTATGAAAATCAGCCTAAAATATGAAAAATGTAATAGAATGCTTTATTGCCCCTGATTTTGATCTGGGCTGTGAATTCGCCTTTCTTTTATTTTTTACTTCTTTTACCTTCTTTGAAGTGTGATACTGAAAACTTAGTGACCCAGGGAACTTATTAATCTACAGCTTAAGAAAGCATTGTTTCCTCATTTACAAAATTGGGATAATAGTAGCTAACTTACAGGGTGCTGTGAAGATTCAAGATAATGTGTGGGAAGCTACCTTCGCATTGAAGGTGAATAACTAGTAGTAACTCATTCTAAATCTGGTGGTGTCTTCATAAATTTATCTTGGATGTTATTTTGAGGCTTCATTTTATTTCCTAGTCTGTGAAAACAACTTTGGTACAGAAAAGTACTCAAAAACAGCAAGTGTGACTGTCTCCATTGAAGGAATGACAGGTTTCTCTTATAGTCTATAATCTAAGTTTAAATGTGTAAGTCTAGAAAGGAATAGGTTGTTTTTAAGGACCTGGGGAACCCCAGATACTCACATTTTTTTCCGCAGTCCAGGTAGATATTTTTCAATTGCTTGGCACATAGTTTTTTCACCTGATAGTCATCAAAGAATCTGCTGATACTCACTACAAAGTTGTTACCAGGAAGCATCATTAATGCATTACCTATGGAAGTTCTTGTGGATTGAGGAATGTCCTTTCCTACAATTAAAAAGAGGATAGATTAGCTTCAATTAAGAAAGTAATGAAACTCCCTTAAAAACAGACTTCCCTAAGATGATCAAACCACTCTCAATCTAGCATGCTGATCATTTTTGAGAAAACACTACTTATTAATTCGCTAAGCTTGCTCACCTTGATAGCTTGTAGCGTGGGTGTGTCAATTACAGATTTCAAGAGAGGACTTTTGCTAACAGTATTTCCCTAGCATCTGTCTTCTCCCTCTTTATGGGTGCGTCTGCTATTAAGATCCCTACCTTGGCTTGGCCTTTGGTTTTTCTACTCTCCTCTGTCCCCCAAAATGGAAAATCATGGGATGCTGAATTTCACTTTGTTGTTGGCCTCTGCATTCTGAAATTTCTTGTGGGATCAATGATGCATTTAAAAAGTTTAAACAGTTTTTTATTCAACATATATTGTTTTACGTGGGAGGGCAATTCACCATATTCAGTCCTTCATCCCTCTGGACGTCCAAGTCTCCCACCGAATTTCTCAGTGCCAAATCCAGTAGCTTCCTTGTCATATTTCTTTTATTTGCCCCTTTGAATCAGTACTCTACCCTTCTCCATTATACTTTCTGCCCTGGGAGGATTATCTGTATAGACTAAATCAATGTACTTCTCTGCTCTCTGGCTCTTCGTTGTAGGCTTATAGGAAGCCCTGGCTGGAGAAAGGAAAGTTTCACTAGCATGTTCACTTTATGAAAATTTATCAAGATGTACACTTATGGTTTCTGCACTTTTCTTAATGCAAGTTATACTTTAATAAATAGTAAAAATAAGAAATGCATTCTCGAAGAGCTCTGTGTTCACTGTCTTCTGTAGGGTGAAGATGATGGTAGAGTTATGTTGCAGTGGAATTCGGTTTCCTGACACCTAAGGGAATTAACAGGATCCTAGAAAGTGGACACCAGGTGGCACAATTTAACTATTAAAAACAAGGTAGGAACCATTATCACAATAAGTAAAAGGGACAGAATGGTAATCAGATTTTTTGTTTCAACCACTGAAATGGAATTGACTTTCTAAACTTTCTGTCTCTTGCAGACAAATTATATTACAATCCACAAAGAAAATTAACAGGCTTAAAAGTCCCCCAAACTACACTCTAGCAGAAGAGTCTTCATTATTAGAAACTGGAATTCAGAAAACCCATGTTCTCTGAGTTTTAGATAATGCAAAATGAAGGTTGCTAACTGAAAGTGCCCCAGAGCTCTTTGCTCTAGATTGAGACAATGCACAAAGGCCAGACAATAATGTCTCAGAAATGAATACAATACGGAAGATTAAAATTACTAGTCCACCCTGAGGTCTTTACACACTGTCTGCCTATAGGGAAGAGGATTCAGTGAAGGAGGGATGATAGAAAACCTGCTATGACAAATGACCTTCAGTTCTATCTGGAGTTAGGGGAAATAAGTGGATGTTGGCGCAAGAGTCCAAAAGTTACCAGCAGAGAGAAAGTTAGAAAGGAAATACACATGAGATCTAACTTTTTCTTTCATGAGGCTAGAATGATACTGAGTCCAGCTCCTTCAGAGGGTTTAGCTTCCTTATCACTTTCTTTTCCCCATTTCCTCTTTCCTTCCCTCTCTTCCTCAACCTCTCTGACTCACAAATCCACTCAATAAATATTTGCCGGCTTTCAAAAATCACAGGTTTTCAGGTTCCCAGAAGGAAGGTGCTTTGCAATTAACATTTTTCTCCTCAAGGTCTTTCATCCCCATTTATGTAACATATTTCCTGGAAAAAGGGAAAACTGTGTGAAGTTCTTACTATAGTATTGAATTACGGCATGAATGATGATACTGAAAACAGCT